TTTTTTTTTTAACTAGATCTCTTTTGGAGGTAATATATTGCCCTTTAAATAACCTATAATATTCTGTTTGATTACTTGTTGACAATATGTTTTTGTCTTCTGTTGAAGTGTATCAAATGAAGACATTTTTTATTAATAAATTAATTTTCAATATTTGGAAACTAAATAAAAGGGAAAAAATAAATATTGTCCATTTTCCTATTACTCAGAGAAAAACTATCAGTACTTTTTATTTAACTGACTTTTCTTTTGGTCTTCAAACTATTCTTGTTCATTTTCACAGATGAGACCCCACTGAATGTGCATTTGGTGTTTCATGACATGTATCTTTTAAAATCCATACATTGCATGGTCAAATCCTTTCAGAGGTAGATTTGGCTACACTTCCCTTTTGATATCATATCCCCTACTACTTAACTCAATAATCGTGTCATCCTTGCTTGCTCAATACTGCTCTATTTTTCCCAGTTATTTACTATAAAATTCTCCATTTAGTGCCCTTGTGGAGTCTTCTAGAACATCATGTAAGTCTTCCTTTGTGGGCCTGTTCCATGTCCATAACTCTCAGGATGCCCATTTCTGCCTGCCCTGAATGCCCTCAAATCTATTCTTGATCTGTTGGGTACATGCTTCTCCCACTCACATGTGCTTCTGTACCACTGAAGCTGCGTAAGGTTGTCCCTAACCTGGAATCTGGGCATGGGGCATAATATCACAGTGTCAGGTGAAAACATGAGAAAGAATGGTTGTCGGTGGTGTACAGCATAGAGGAAATCTTGGTATGTAGTTCAAGTGGGGAAACAATGGTATTCAATTCAGATATGGAACAAAAATCAGTTATATTTCATTGCTAACAGGAAAAGTAGGAAATTGTGTAAGAAAACTACAACTTATTATATTAGACAGAACTTTGTAAAATTGATATTTGACCATGTTTTGATCAAATTAAAAGGAAATTTCATACGGTTCAGCCTAATAAAGCACCACTGGTCGGTCAGTTTGTTTTAATGTAGTGGCTTGTGTGTTGCTATAATACTGGAAACTATGCACTGATATTTCAAATACCATCAAAGTGGACATATTTTCAGGGGACCTTCCAGGCTATAACAGATTAGGAAGAAGGACTTGATGATCTGCTTATGAAAAATATCATTCAGTGAAAACCTTATGAATACCTGTGGAACACTGTTTAATATAATGCTGGAAGA